TGTTCTGCAAAGCTCTGAGCAAAGACAACACTGTGCTTCGGACAGCAGCTCCCTTTCCTGTATCCCCCAGCCAGCACCCGCAGGACCTCATCTCCGAGGCTAGAGCAGGTTGGGTGAAAGGAAAATGCCTGAAGCCTGGGGAAAGGGGGTAAAAAGGGCCCTTGGGAGCCGCGTATAGGGCCAGGCCCCTTAAAGAGCCAACCATTCTCTAGCACAACACACACAAAGGGGTCGCTGGTCTCCGCAGCTCAGCCCCCTCCCCAGCAGAGGGGGAGGGGAAGGGAGGGAATTCAGCCCTCCATACCCCAGGGCAGGTGAGTGTGAAATGCCCCCATCACCAGCCATACAAAGCACCGGCACTGGGGCCAGGTGCAAGGACACCAGGCAGGCCAGCCGCAGGGCGGTGCTCAGGGAGGGGCTGCTGTGGGTGCGGCCCAGCATGGGTGTCCCTGGTCCTGCTCCTTCCCCCTCCCCTGCCGGCCAGGAAACGCAGCTGGGTGTTAAAAAGAACCTCCCTCCCCCCGCCCCCCAACAGCAGGAGGAGCGAGCGAATGCGAAAAGCACAAGGGCCCTGCCAGGGTCGTGCCATGCGGTTGTGTTAGCCCGTCAAGGGGAGCCGGGGAAAGGGGCCACTAGTAAAATGGAGCAGAGGCCAGAACAGGTGTGCCCAGCCAGAGGCAAATCCAGCCAGTTCCCAAAGTGAAACGCAGGCCACGGCCAGCAGCAGAGCCAGGAGCCTCCCCAGGAACTGAAATAAGGGGGGGTCGAATTTACAAGGGGGGGTGTCAGGGCCCATGAGGGGTGACACCGTGAGGGTGAAGGTGGGCTGTATGGCACCATAGTTCACAAAACTGGGGGGGCTGTTGGGGAAATTCAGGGGGTATACACCCCCATGGGAAATCCCTGGGGGCTGCAGAGGATAGGACTTCTCCTCCTACAAGGAGACACTGATGCTGTGTCAGACCCATCCCCTAGAAACTTTCCCCAGCTTCAGGAAGCTCAGTATCCTCCTCTGCTTCCTCCCCACATAGTTCCTCAGGTGGGTGGGTCAATTTTGCTTCTTCCCTGTGTGGCTGGAGGAGGGCAAGGTGCTTCCAGAGGGCAGGAGAGGGACAGTGGCCGGGGAGGGGCGAGGGAGTTGGGGGTCCTGCTCAGTGTGACCTCCCCCAGAGAACTTGGGTGCCCCTTTGTGGTGGGGGTCGGGGGCCCCGCGGGAGCTGAGCGCCCAGCCCCAGGCCGGTTCAAGATGGCTCTGATTAAATCGCAACAGCCAGTTGATAACAAGTCC